ACCCCGCCGCCGCCTCTTGAGCCCAACAGCCTTCTGATACATCCGGGTGTTTCCGTTTCGATCTCAAAACATCGCGTTGTTCCAATCGAACACTCTTCTCCTTCCGGCCTGCGTGCTTCTTCCAGCCCTCCGTCGTCCTCCCCACCTTTCCTCGGTATGTAATTTTTGCCTAATAAATGGAAGCTTAGATTTACGGATCATCACAGCTGCCGAATTCACCCTTGACCCCGCGTTCAACCGTGCAGACCTTTTGGATTAGTTAGCCGATCTCAACCAAACAAATAATTTTTTTTCTTGGTTACATTGCGTTCTGGCAACATGAGAGATTGTCCCAAGTGGGCGCGGGCACAATTTTCCGCATCAAAAACTCCACATCGTCATCATAAAACGTGCTCTGCACACGATGCAACTTCTCAAAAGATCCCCGCACGCCTTCGTCCGCCAAATCGAAGTCCAGGCGAATGTGGGGACACGGACCCGTCTCCTCTAATTCTGACTCGACAAAGAAGCTCTTCAGGTGAGCATTTGCGTGTCTGCGGAACAAGAACACAAACAGAGGCCTATATAGCTAACCACGTTATAGTTTTTGCACTAGAAATCCGAAATCACTCATGTTGCCTGCAACCGCTCCGAAGACGCCTCGCGCCTGCTAGTCTGTGCAGCTTCCTCTTCAACTTCTTCCCTGCGGGCGTCACGTCGGCGCGCCATTCGCTCGCGCGCCTTCTTCTGCTCTTGTTCCTTGTTTTTTTTCGCGATACTGTGCTTGCGCACGGGCGTGCCCTGTCGCGTTTCCTCCGCCAGCCAACGCCTCAGACGCGTTTGACAGCGGGAGAGGCCGCAGGACAGAAGCAGGTTCTTCAAACGTGAAGGTGATGGTAAGCGGCAACGTTTTTGTTCTGAAATCGGCTCTTACTAATATAACCTACTAGCAATTCGTCTCAACATTCCGATGCTCATGGCTCCTCCCACCGACGACCAGTAGGTGTTCCATGTCTTGTTCATTCGTGGCGTACTAACCGTTGTTTGAGACCTCCCAAACGCGCCAAGATCCTGCATTCCGCCTCCTACTGGCAAGACTTCCACCATCGGCGACGCATGCGCGCTGCCGAAGCTGAGCACAATCCTCCCGATCTGTTTGGCGCCCTACAAGACCAGGCGCCAGTGTATACGTTCCTGCGCGGACGGACGACGCCCCAGACATCCACTGTGCAGAACAACGGCCGCCTCCTCACCACATTCATCCCCCAGCCCTTACACTCTGGCACTCCCGAACCTGCACCCCTTCACATCCCCGTGTCCGGCCCGCCCCACACTCCACTCCCTGGCCACACGCGTTCCAAATTCGCGCGCAACCTCGCGGAGCGCAGACACATTCAACCCCCCTCTGACCCTGACGCGTACCTTCTTAATCAGCTGCAGCGCGGGCACGAATATAACCCCGTACCTGCTCGCGCTAATAATGAGCATCGCCGCGGTGAGCGTCAGAAGCGGGCGGCCGACGCGAAGGTGAAAGACCTGCATGTCACCTTAAGTGGTCTCGCCAAAATGAGCCAAAATGAGCTCAACGAGGAGAAGCGCACCAAAATTGACCATCTCCGCAACATCCTCCGCCGCGGGCTCCGTGACGAGCGCGCCCGCGAGCGCCTCGCGCTTCGCGACTCCGTATGTGTTCACACGACCTAGGTGATTTCGGTACGTGCATGATATCCGACTCATTTTTCAAAGCTGACCTCACGATCATAGCCGTCGACTTTCTTGAAACGTAGCCGCTCGACTTTCTTGGATATTCTACTTTCGTACTACCATGATCTACCAATGTTTCGTAGTATATACTGCCAATTTCAAACTTTGACCGTTCCAGAGCGAACTCCGCAGACAAATTCGAGACTTGAGCTATTGATTTTAAAATCGCAAATCAGTGCTGACGCCTGAGGCTGTGCACCTTTCCCAAAAGGGATGTTCGTGATCTCTCGCGAACTTGCCACGTCTCGCGAACTTGCCACTGGCCGGGCGCCACGGGCGACGGTGCCCAGGGCGCTGGCCGCCGACTTCCGACAAATCTTGAAGTACAAACCAGGCGCCACACTCTCTTCTACCTCTGTTTTTTTTCCGCTTTTTTTTTTGGATTTTGCATGAATGCGCTTGCGGTGTCTGTGCCAAAAGCTCGCCAAAAACCCCATGGTCTTCTGGGGTTGCATCCATACACTCACCCACTTTTCGACTTTTCTTCGTCTCATTTGTGACACGCCTGCGCACTTGCTTCAATCTTCTTATCTGCCTTGTCTCCATGCTTCGCCAAGGAAAGGCCAAATGCAGTGACGCGCAGCTTGACGCGCTATCGCGCTATCGCGAAAAGTCAGTTTATGCAATCTCTCTCGCTTTCCCTCGAATCTCCCTTCCTCACACCAAAGGCACGCTGAGGCCCTCAAGGCCAAAGCCCGAGAGCGCATGGCACGGTAAGTAACAAACCCCGCTGTCTTGGCCTGACTGACAATTCCTTCTGGGACAGGAGGCGCGAACTGGTGCGGCACGATCCGGAACTGCTAGCCCAGTATCAGGCGAGAGCGCGCATGCACAGCGCCCACCACCGTGCCGAGAAGCCTTATATGAGACAATGGGCCCAGAGACAATACCGCGCCAGGTACGCCCGCCCAGTTCCAGTCTCTTCCATCGCATCAGCGACTTACATTGATTACCCAGGCAGCATATCAAGAAACACGGCTACGATGCATGGTACGCCAGTTACATCAAGCGCCAGCCAGCCGAGACGCCGCCCGAGTCCCGCGCCACCTCGCAGCAACCAGAGTCCACGTCGCAGCAACGCCCCACCTCGCGCACGCCGTCAGAACAGCCTGACTCACGATCAGCCTCACCGCCCAGGGAGACCGAGATCGACACCACCGGGCTCAGCGAGTCTGAAAAATACCAGGCGCAGATAAACGCGTGGCTCGATAACGACGACCCGACCACCGCTCCTGACTACGTCCCGAAGCCGGGGCAGGAGCGTTTTTTCCAGCGCGGAAAATGGCGCTGGTATTGATCAGAACGTAGATAAATGCCTGTTTTTCTTGCGATAATCTCAGCGGGCCCAGCGGTCCATCCCCCACCGAAGTTACGCAACGCCCGCTCAATTGACAAGTACCCGTGCTGCGTGCGCCCGTCTTCCACCGAGCCGCCCGCTTGACAAGACCCGCACGGTGTACTTACGAACACTTACAAGCACTTACGTCTCTTTCCGCGCTCCGCCTTCTTCCGCCTTAAATGAAAAGGATTGGGATCTGGCTACCATCCACTGGCACCACCCACAATGCCCCGTCGTACGGTCAAGAAAACACCCGCCCAGCCACCTCCCCCCCACCTCCCGTTTCGGTGGCATCACACGCGCGTTGCGTTCTTCCAACAGCACCTCGAACAGTGTTTCCGGGCGCGGGAGGAGGGTACAATGAAAGAGTTTTTCGCGATGATTCTGACAGCATACTTCAACAAGTTCGGAGAACCCACCGTCCCGCAGGACCCCAACAGCCCCGTACCTTCCGAGCTCCCTGCATCCGAACGAAGGATTATCGATACCACTTTTCGGGTGGTACGTAGCCTACTTCTCCGTCGTTTTCACGGTCTCAATCACCTTTTGTTTCGCTGCAGAGAATCAAGTCTTGGTTTCATACCCAAATCATCAAGCGCGCCCATCTCCTTGCCTCGCTCGCGTAAAATGACTCTCAGGTAAGGCACTCGAGGCCACGGTCCGTGAGACATACTCACAAATGCACACAGATACTACTAGTTTCACTGCTGATTTCCGTCTCTGAATTCGCCTCCAAACTCCTTTCCATCCACCGCAATGTACACACCATCTACTTTACCCTCATTTTTTATGCTTCTGCTTCCAACGCCTCAACACCCTTCGTTCGCATTTTCCCCTTCTTCTTAAAGTTCTTTCGTATCCGTCCACAACACAACATGCTTCCAACCTGCCTACTTACACCAAACACTTCCATACATACCTAGTATCCTGTATCCAATTTTCTTCTTGGTACTTCAACTTGACTTCAACTTGAATTTGAATTCACGACCACGTGAGCTTATTTGCACCGGTTAGGAACGAAAGACGGCACAGAACAAAGAAAGCTGCGCCGCCCAACTGCGCCTCACTTCTCAAAACCTGCGCCGCACAGCGCAGCTTCCTCAAGCGCCCCTTGTCTTCAGCATCATGAACAGGCGCGCTGATACTCTACGACGCTACTCATACTGATCTAACTACCCCTTAGGGTCCGTGCGTTCGAAGCTATGAGCGACCATTTCGAGAATCCCCCTCGAGGCGAATCCTCGAGTGATTACCCAGTATACACCGTGTCCTCTTTTGTGAATATCGCGAAATTTCTACCCTGCTGCCGGTGTTCCGCGGATACTTCCAGCGCTACAAGTCGGGGCACAAAAAGCAGATCCGGATGTTCGATTACGTCGTCGACGAGTGCGAAACCGTCGACGACCACCTGTACGTCACTCTTCCGCTCGGCTCCATTTCAATCATTGACTCGTCTGTCCCAGCGATGCAGCAAAAGCCGTTTGGGATCAAGCCCCAGATCAATACGCTGTCAGCGCCGCCTTTCCCAGCTATGAAGTGGCTAAAACCGCCGCCGCCGCATTCACACCCGAGAGGACCTCAGCCGAGGACACTGCTGAAGTCCGGGCCATGTTCTGGCCCGATCCTGCCGACGACGATTAAACCGGCGAACTAATACTTTATGCTCACGCTCTCGATTACGCTCTCGAATACTTTACGCTCCTCGCACTCTTCATATCTGCTGCTGGCTCTGAACTTGCTGTCTGCCGCCGCACTTTCAGCATATACTTACTCACGACCCAAAAAAAAATTGTATCATTTATCCCACTCAAATCATCATCGCCTTTTTTCAATCGCGAAGTTCAAACGAAAGTTGTCTGTCTTTTTTACTATTTAGCTAGATGTGCACATAACCCATCCACAGAGATTACCCTCGGTCAACTCCATGGTCGAGTGGTTAAGACCCGCCCAGATGATCTTTGCGCAGATCGACGTCTTAACTGGGCGGTCGCTCGTTCAATTCGGGCTGGAGCCGTGTTTTCGTGCTTGTCGTTTTTACTTCCTTTTTTTTCGTTCGTTTTTTTTTTTTGTTCTTCGCTATGTCTTTTTCCTTTGTGTCTGAACACGCGCCGCGCTGTCATGAAAAAAAAACGCTGAAAAGTGTCGTCTGTTTGACGCGACGCGTTGTTGTGCCCTGATTGTTTCGCCCGTAACGTGACCCATCTCTCCTCTCACTGTAACTTTATCTAATTTATTGTGGTCGCCGCTTTCCCGTCCTTCCTTCCTCTCCTTATCTTACCGGCTTCGGTCTTCCTCTCATGTCCGTGTTCACCTCACGCCAGAGACGTCGTCTCAAGATTGATGCCAGACGGATGGCTGGGTCGGCCAACATTCTCCTGGCTGACAACGAGGTGCTCATCGACCCCTCGCGGCGACCCGAAGACGAACCCATCCCTGTGATGGTGGATCGTCTATCAAACGACAACCGGCGCGTATACTCAACGGTCGAGGATCTCGATGCGCCCTCCCCTGTGAAAAAGCACCGTTTACGCGCAGCAGCACCAACAGCGCATTCACCTGCTCCTCAAGTTTCACGCCCGCCCCTGGTCTACGAGCGTTATGAGCTCTTTGGCATGGGGTCGGGTTTGGAGGATCCCTTCACCATACCCGACCCAATTCCACCCCCTAACATCAAGTATTCGGTAAGGGTGTGTTATTTGGTAGGCGAGCCGGTACTGATTTCCGCATTCAGGACAGATCTCTTCACACCTGGCGCGCCAAGGTGGACTCTTTTACCTCCGAGTTCATCCGACAACATGGCCGGGGCGACGCCGACTTGGATTTGTGTCGGGGCTGCGACGGCTACAACGGCGCACCACAGTTTCGTTGTCGTGATTGCCACGGTGGCGCCATGTACTGTCAAACGTGCATCGTCGCCAGACACCAGGACAATCCCCTGCATAGGGTCTATGTGCGTATCTCTTCTCTCCTTTCCGTTTGACGCCAAAAAGAAAAACTGATGTTGTTCCTGTCCTGCAGTACTGGACGGATGGGCATTTCGTCAAGACGCCGTTGGCGCAGCTGGGACTCAAGATACAGCTCGGTCACACACGAGGCTCCCGGTGCTCTGCACCCGACCGAGCCAAACAGGGTTTTGTCGTTATTCATGTCAATGGCATTCACGAAGTCAACGTTAGCTTCTGTGGATGCGAACATTCGAGAGAAGCCGGCACTCCAGAGATCCAGGTACTGCGAGCGAAATGGTTTCCTGCGACGCACGAAATTCCCCACACATGCGCGACCATGGAGGTCCTCGACCTCTTCCACCAAACCGTTGTCGAAGCCAAGACTTCAATGTACCATTTTTACGCGATCTTGGAGAAACTCACCAACAACATGGGCATAAAACCCCCGGACCGTTACCATGAGTGGATCCGAATGTGCCGCGAGTATGGCCATTGTTTACTGCTCTTGCAAGGCGGGCAGGTGACTGCGTACGACTCAATGGGAGTGGCGGGGATCAAGCCAGGAGCTCTGGCTATTGTTTGCCCAGCGTGCCCCCGCCCGGGCGTCAACCTCGACGACGATTGGGAAGCCGCGTCAGAGGAGGACATGTACGTCCCACTTTCGTCACCATCTGCTAAATCAACTAATATACGATTTAGGCACTTATACACCTGGTACCTGGCCTTAGACGCCTGTTTTAGGCTCAAACGGCGCCTGGTGTCGAACGAGCTCCGGGACGCACCTCTGGCGAGCGGTTCCGCCTACATGCTCGTCGACCCACCCTTTCGCGAGTACCTGTTGTCCGTAACGGATCAGAAAGAGGTATGATTCGCTTTTCAAGGGTATGCGCACAAACTGACTGAGTCTTCAGATGAGTACGTGCAGCGGTTTGGCCGCACTCGACTTCGCGAATACCAAATTTTCGCGCGGATATGCTACAACGGGCGTGGCGATGGGCGTCTGCGCCCGCCACGAGTTTGTGCAACCGAATGGAGTTGGGGATCTCCAACGAGGAGAGCGGTACGTGCTAATCCACAGCCTCCCTCGCTCTCTCACGCATTAACTAACAGGTTTGCCAACGTCGACTACGTTTTCTCCTGCATAATGGGTCACCTCCACCCCCGTTTACGAAAATTAGTATCTTATGACATCGCGTGTATTTGGAGCAAGGACCTGGTCCGCCGCTGCGCAGAGGATCTCCCTCCTCTTCAACGTTTAACCCTGATCCTGAAATTCCTACGCTTCGCTATCCCAAAAATGCACATCCACTCGCACAACGTCAAGTGCCAGAACGAATTTTCGCTGAATCTCACGAAGGGCAGCGCGCAGGTTGACGGCGAAGGCATCGAAAGGCCCTGGTGGTGGATTGCAGGTATAGCGGCGGCAACTCGGGAGATGGGCCCGGGGAGTCGCCACGATCTACTGGATCTTCTCTGGTCATACTGGAACTGGCAAAAGCTCATAGGTCTTAGTGAGTACCCGCTATGAGATCTGAACTTTTCATACTCATTTCTTTCACCGCGCCAGTGGCTCTCCTACGTCGCCGACGTGATCGCGGCGAGCCAGAGCTGGAGCAGCAAAAGGAGGCCTTCGAGGCCTTCTCGAAGGAGCAAGTCGAGCACGTCCCAGCCTGGAAGAAAATGGTGCACGACTTCGAGGACGACCCGACGGCCCGCAACCCGTATGAATTGACGATCACCGGTGCGTACTTGCCATGCCAGAAAATGTCAGCTTGGTTACTGACTTGATCGAGCCAGGGCTTACCGAGGCGCAGGTCCGACTTCGATTCACGGAGGAGGAGGCGGCTGAGGCGGCGCGGGGTGCTGCCACGTGGCACGATGTCACGCCAAGCAAGTTCCTGGTCTTGGGCCTCGACATCGAGGCTGAGCAGTAAGTGCACTGCATGTTTGGCCATAGAAAAACTAATGCGCCACGGCAGGCGCCGAGTTCGCGTTCAGGCCGAGCTCAAGAAGGCTGGGACTGCAGGCATGCAAATAGATCTGACAAACCAGCGGACAGCATTGAATCGCCGCATCACGCGCTTCCGGAAACTTCAATCTACGTACACACCAGCGGCGCTGCAGGCGCTCGGGGAAAACCAATCGATCAAAGAGGATGTATTAGTGGAGGATATGCCGCTGATGCTCCCCTCGGCGTTGACGCCTCAGCAACGCCAAACGTGCAAGCCAGGCCTAGCGGACATGGAGGCCCTGCTGAGGAACGCCCAATGCCGTACTGCGCTGGCGCGGCTGCGTAACCAGCTGCATATCAAGAGTCGCTTACTGACCTACAAGAAGTCGCATTCGCGGCACCAGGGCGCCAACACACGGGCGCGAACGATTGTAGCTCGAAACGAAAGCAAAATTCGATTGCATTCAGAAAAATATCAGGTAGCTTGGGAGGCTATCCGGCTCCTCAGCGATGACGGTGACCCGGATAAGGTCGGCTGGCAGATCCTCAAGAAAGATGATATCCGTTGCATGGAGGACGAGGAAGATTTGCGAAAGAAGGAGGAGCAGAGGCAGGCTCAGAAGACGAGGAAAAGGAAGCGAGACGAGGACTTACGGGCGTTAGGGGTTCAGCAGCCGCCGGACAGCGACAACGAATTCGAGGTCGACGGCCCCGTGGACAAAGTGCCTGAGAATCGGCGTCAGGTTTCCTGGATTTGGCGGATCGGTGGAGCCCTCGGCCGGGATGACGAGTTGGAGGAAGGTATGTTTCGGTCGCGCTTGCACAAAATCATAGATGCTGACTCGAGTTGTGAGCCTTGCGAATTGAATGGTGCAAATCATATGCGCGCGTACGGCGCTGGACGGAGGAGCTCGCGCTCCTCGATGTAGAACGTATGCGGGTGGGGCGGTCCTTTGAATTCGAGGCGAGGCGCTGGGACGATCGTCGGCGCTCAATTCCGTTCGTTATTCGTTCGCAGGAGGTGGAGGGGGCGATTGCGTACGCCAAGCGCCAGGCGGCGATGTTCCGTGACCTGCGTCGCCGCGGGGAAGTGACTTGGACAGAAGAAAAGCTTGCGCGGGGTAAGAAACGCGCACGAAATGCACCCACCTTTAGGGATCTGGAGGCGGCGGGGCGAATGGATGAGGAGTCGGAACGGGAAAGGCGCTTGGAAGAAGAGGAGCGGGAGCGGGAGGAGGAGGAGCGCGAGCTCGTGCAGGCCGAGGTGGCGGTAGAAGACGAGTTCCTGCTGGGAGGTGATGGTGATGAGGACTGAGACGGCGGGTACGGGAGCGGGGGCGGGACGGCGCGCTACGGAGACGAGGAGAGCGCGGTTGCGGGTGGTGATCCGCGGCGCGGCAAACTAACAGCCTACGTGATCTTGAGGTAAGAGGTTTGCATCGGCTAAAGGCGAGAGTTGACGTGGCATGTCGTCCAGGTACATCCTTTCCAGCTACATCCAATGTGTGTCGGCCTACTGCAACCCACGGTCGATCTCCAGACAGGTGAATGTTTCGACGTGCTGGACCTCATCATCGTCGACGCTGGCGCTCACAAAGCGGAGAGGTTGGCGGAGCAGAAGAGTTGGCTGGCAGAGGAGTTTTGGCGGTGGGTTATAGCGGCGGACGCAGTAGTGTTTTGGGAGAGCGCCTACGTCGCGGCGGGCATCGCGGTAGGTGAAGAAAGGTGCGCTGTTGCTTCGACGTCGTTATATTCAAGCTAAAAATCCTTTAGACAACGCTGCAAGGCATTCTTGGAGTCCCACCAAAAAATGGCGGCCAAAATCGAGGCCACTAACGCGGCTGTGCGCTACTCACGATTCCACGTCGTGACGCCGTGGGTGCTGCGCTCCCTGTCGCGTTTGTTAACGCTCGAATGCCAGCGGCGCCGCATCCTGCGATGGGGCTTGACGACGACCTCAGGCATGGCAGCGCGCGTCCGCGACGCTGAAGCGCTTGCGAAGATCAAGGAGAAGATGCGTGCATTGGTCAGTTTTCTATTTCTTTTTTCATTGACAATCACTGACATTGTCTCAGGCGGCTAAGCTGTATGAGGGTGGCAGGCGGAGAACGGTAGAAA